GAATTCACACCGGAGAGAAACCGTACATGTGTTCACACTGTGATAAGAGATTCAGTCAGTTAAGTTCACTGAAATCACATGAGAAGATTCACACTGGAGAGAAACCTTACAAGTGTTTGCAGTGTGGAAAGAGATTTAGTTGGTCGGTAAGCTTGAAAATTCATGAGAAGGTTCACACTGGAGAAAAACCTCACAAGTGTTTGCAGTGTGGAAAGAGATTTAGTTGGTTGGTAAGCTTGAAATCGCATGAGAAAGTTCACACTGGAGAAAAACCTCACAAATGTTTACTCTGTGGAAAGAGATTCAGACGATTAGGAAGCCTGAAAATACACAAGAGGATTCACACTGGAGAGAAACCGTTCAAGTGTTCACACTGCGACAAGAGATTCAGTCACTTAGAAAGCCTGAAATTACATGAGAGGATTCACACTGGAGAGAGACCTTACATGTGTTTCCAGTGCAAGAAGACATTCGGTAGGTTAGGACAACTGAAAAGACATGAGAGGATTCACACCGGAGAGAAACCGTACAAGTGCTCACACTGCGACAAGAGATTCAGTCGATCAGAAAGCCTGAAAAGACATGAGAGGATTCACACCGGAGAGAAACCGTACAAGTGCTCACACTGCGACAAGAGATTCGGTCGATCAGAAAACCTGAAAAAACACGAGAGGATTCACACCGGAGAGAAACCTTACATGTGTTTCCAGTGCAACAAGAGATTCAGCCAGGCATGGCATCTGAAAAAACATGAGGCGATTCACACTGGAGAGAAACCTAACTAGTGTTCACATTGCAACAAGAGCTTCAATCAGTTACAAACTCTGCAAAATGGAGAGAAAGCGTTCACATGTGATCAGCATCTGAAGAGTTTCACCTCCACAACTTCAAACATTGGGTTAAATTAGGCTCTCTAGTCTCCGTGTTCAGTTCATTTCTTCCACTGTATCTGTTCACCTCCGGAAACGGAACCAACCCATTCCAGATCAAATCGACAGTTTGGCTGGTTCTGCACACACCTCACAAATTCAAAGTGACAACATCCCAAACTTTATTTGACATTTTCTAAGAAGGATCAGAGCTTAGGTCCTGCTCAGCTCATAAATTCCTCTCACAAAGAACAAACCACAACCATGCAAGCAGAAACAGTTTCAAGACATCTTCTATCGATGGGGGAAAACATGTACAAGCTACACTACAAAAGCACAAATGGCACCATCTTTAAGCCAGGAGTACACACAGTGCGATTTCTGCTGTTGAACAAGCTTATATATGATTTCTTACCACGGCAGAAGTCATGGATATCATTGACGCTCATACGGTCATGTCTCGTAACGCATGAATGGAACTTTAGAGCAGAGCTGAACAGTTAAAAGTTTGGTTATATGAGTCGATCCGTCAATCTATCTGGAGTTTAATCACATGTCAAAGAAGGAGGAGTTCCAGACACCCACACCAATTACGTGATTGACATGGACCAATGGCAGCCCAAATGTGTTTAGGAGCCAAAACAATCTCGACCAAAAAGTTGTGAGCTGTTTCAAACTGGTGAAACCGTCTCAAAGCAATTTCATTAAGCATGACATCATTTCAGTTCGTTCTTCCATTTCCGTTTAAGCAATTTCTTTTGCAGGCAATACAACAAATATTATTTAATGTGTTCCTCATGATTTTTAGTGTTTTTAGGGATTTTTTTTGGTTCTTGCAACACATTTAAAAAAAAAAAGTTGGAACAGTAAAGCATTTATCAATTTGTAATGTTTCTATTCCTTTTAACAACACTTAAAATACATTTAGGGACTGAAGACACCAAGTGATGAAGTGTTTCAGCTGTAATTTTGTCCTATTTTTCCTGCAAACAAGTCTTAAGGTGGGCTACGGTACAGGGTCTTCATTGTAACATTTTGCTCTTCAAAATGCGCCACACATTCTCTATTAGAAACTGGTCGGGACTGCAGGTAGGCCAGTCAAGTATCTGAAACCTCTTCCTCTGCAGCCAAGACTTTGTAATGTGTGCAGAATGTAGTTCCCTGAAAAAGAAGGCAGCATATTGCTCCAAAATCTCCATGTACTTTTCAGCACTAATGGTGCCATCACAGAAGTGCAGGTTACCTTTGCCAAGGGCACTGACAAAACCCCATACAATGACAGACCCTGGCTTTTGGACTTGCTGGTAACAGTCTGGATGATCATTTTCTTCTTTGGGTCAGAGTCCACAGCATACATTTCTCCCAAAAAAATACCTAAAAATACTGATTCTTCAGACCACAGTACATGTTTCCACTGTGTGATTGTGCATCCCAGATGCCTCCGAGCCAAGAGAAGTTGACTGCGCTTCTGGACACTGTTAACATAGGGCTTCCTTTTGGCCCAGTACAGTTTTGACTGGCATTTGTGCATGTAACTACATATTGTGGTACTTGACAACGGTTTGCCGCAGTAGTCCTGAGTCCATGTGGTGATCTCGCTTATAGATGAATGAGGATTCTTGATGCAGTGCAGCCTGAGGGATCGAAGATTGCAGTTGTTTAGCTCAGGCTTGCACCCTTTACGTACTGAAATTCCTCCAGATTTCTTAAATCTTTTAATGATGTTCTGCACTGTTGAAGGTGAAATATCCAAATTTCCTCTTCTCTTTCTTTTGAGGAACATTGTTTTTTAACATTTCAATCATTTTCTCAGGTATTTGTTGTCAAACTGGTGATCCTCTGTCCATCTTTGCTCTTAAAGGACTAGACCTCTCTTGAATGCCGTTTTTGTACCAAATCATAATTACAATCACCTGTTGACATCACCTATTTTAAATCACATCAATATTTAACCAATTTACCTGATTACCAGCCCTAAGTTCCTCCTGTTCCAACTTTTTTTGAAATGTGTTGCAAGAACCAAAATTGTAATATGTGTTTATGAAAAAGAAATCATGAAGAACACATTAAATTATGTTTGTTGTATTGCCTGCAATGAAATACAAGTCAACGTAATTTTAGAAATCGCAAAATTTTTATCTGCCTCACTATACTGTCTCAACCTTTTCTGATTTTGGGTTATACATAACATGTCTTAGCCATGTTTAGTGAGCTAATTGCGTTTTCTAGTGGACAATCAGAGCTCTTATCTTACTATTATCGCTCTTATTATTTGAGCCCTTTATTTAGAAAAGCCTTAAGGGCATCATACACAGGATGCATCGCTCGGCAACGAGTCATGCATTTGAAAATTCTAAACAAAGGTTTCTATCAGGGTACACACACCGGCGCCGCAAGTCAGCGGCTGTTTGCGGTGCCCAGCTTTGACTCGGGAGACTCTTTATATTACTGCCGCCCCAAAGAGCGCTATCTGATTTGTTTCATTTTAAATAGCGTGCAAATTTGCGCGTCTGGTGTGCGATACTTCTAACTGTCATGTGCGGACCGTGTCGTGACGCATCCCATGTGCGACCTGCATTAGGGGCTGTTCACATATCTTTGCATACGCAAGTTCGTTATTTCTAATAGAGGTGTGCTGCTTGCAGATTCCAGGCGCACCTAGTTAAAAGCATCGCCACTTTTCAAAATTCCAATGGTGCACTGCAAGCCATGTGACAAGAACGACCAATCAGATTCATACTTTGAATGCAATATACACATTTCAATAGATTAATTACCTCAGTCAAACACAGAAAACCCAAACATCACAGTGCTTTTACATTTTCTCCATGAATAAATCTTGTTTTATAATCCTCTGAGATAACAGTTGATGGTCGCAAATCGCTTTTCACACGCTTTTAAATGTGATATGTGAGCGGCCCCTTGGCCTTTTTTCTTTATTTTTATTTTTAGGAGTGATCAATTATATAAAATTAAGAGATTTAAATGTCATGTTATGCTTATCTTTTGCTTTATTATTATTTAGTGAAATATTTAATCCTGGTGCATTTGTGAGAGTTTTCTACAGTGTAATGGATTAATTTTATCAGTTATCAATGAATGGTAAAATTTAGGAAATTGTGGAGCAGGAAATTATATTACTATTACTTTTCTCTACTTATGAAACTTTGTGCGTGCCTTTTTATACAGAATTGCTTTGTAGCACAAGTTTATTATAGTAGCTCCATATTCTGTTGTAAATGTGTTTTTCAATTTGGCTTGTGTGGAAATTACTGCTGTTAACCAACCTAAATGTAACCTCATTTCTATCATTGGTAGAATAAATTTGGTACTAAATGTTTGCTATTTTAGGTTAGTTAGAATTACCTAAATGATTTGCTAAATGTCAGAATAATACGAGAATTTTATTAGTTCCTAGACAGTCGAAAGTTTAAACACATTTCCTTGGTATTTTTTTTAGCTTTGCTATAAAACTATATAACTTTGGTCAAATGTTTTGGGTATCCTTCCACAAGCTTCTTAAAATAGTTTGAAGGAATTTAGGCCCATTCCTCCTGAAAAGATTGGTGTAACTGAGTCAGATTTGTAGTCTGTCTTGCTTGCACAAGCTTTTTCAACTGTCCCCCAAATTTTCTATAGGATTGAGATCAGGGCTTTGTGATGGCCACTCCAAGACATTCAGTCTGTTGTCCCCAAAGCACATTTTAACTAATTTAAGCACAATTAGTATGCTTAAGGTCATGGTCTGTTTGGAAGAGCCATTTGTGGCCAAGTTTTAATTTCCTGGCTGATGTCTTGAGATGTTGCTTCAGTATTTCTACATACTGTTCTTTCTTTATGATGCCATCTATGCTGTGAAGTGGAGCAGTCCCTCCTGCAGCAAAACAGCCCCACAACATGATGCTGCCGCCCCCATACTTCACAGTTGGGATGGTGTTCCTAGGCTTGTAAGCTTTCCCCTTTGTCCTTCACATGTAACTCTGGTCATTATGGCCAAACAGTTCAATCTTAGCTCCATCAGACCACAGGACATGTCTCCAAACATGAGTCTTTTTCCCAGTGTCATTTAGCAAATTATAATCTGGCTGTTTAGTTGATTCTGGCTTGTTGATTTTCCCATGTTGTCACACAAGGAAGCAGTGCGTTTGAGGTTTTCCTTAAAAACTATTTTACAGTTGTGCCTCCAATGAACTCAAATGTTGTCAATTAGCCAATCAGAAACCTCCAAAACCTTGACATCCTCATCTGAGCTTTTTCACAGGCAGAATAACCTTACTGTATGTAAACTTGACTTTCAAGAAAAGTTATAACAATTTCTCAAAAAATATCTCTCATTATTCTGCTGTTAAACAGAACAGAAACAGATGTGATAATCCTAACTTACCTTAAAGAGAAATAGTTTAGTCACATTAACATCTAATATTTTTAAATGGTTATGTGCCTTTTTATATAGTGTGTGTAAACTTCTGCTTTCAACTGTAGATAATGATCATTAAACATTACAGAAAAGCTAGTAATCGAGTCATTATTTTGATAGTTTTCACGAGTCATTATTGAGAAATGTATTGATACATTTTTGATGATCGCATTACTTTCAGTTGCATTATTATTATTATAATGCTTTGCTTGTTCGACCTTTATACTTTCTATGAAGAAGCCATGTAAAAGCAGACTGTAGTCTGATGAGAAATGAGAAGTGTGCAAACACAGCCAGAATCAGGATAAGAATGAAAAGAGCAGGATCTGTGAGTAACGTAACGGGAACAGCTTTATGGAAGTAAGGTCATAAGGGCACTTGCGTTCTGATTCATGTGCGACTCACACCTGCTTTCTCAGACATGCGCCCACGCTCAATTGCGATGACTGCCAAAATACGATGATCCTAAAACTGCCCGGGAACTTCAGTTGAATGTACAGTTGACAGCTCAAGGTACAGTGAGCAAGATATATTGTTGAGCTTTGTTTTTGCTGAATTGCCTCATTTGAAGTAGCAAAGAAAGACCCTAAAGAGCCCCTATTATGGGTGCAGTGTGTAGCACAGCTCTAATGCCTAGTTCAGACTGTGTGATTTTAGGCCCGATTTTGGCTCGCCGACAGGTTTTGAGAAATCGCCGACAAATGCCTGAAATCACAGGCAAATCGCTGCTCGTGCACATGAGTGACAATCACACAGTATGAACGATCAAAGACGCGATCTGAGAGAATCGCCGATGAGTCGCCGATGCCTCTGAGATATTTGGTGTGCTGAATATCTGGAGCTGTCGGCGATTCAAATCATGCTGTGTGAATTGAGTTTTGACTGAAAATAACATCAGCGATCGCCTACAGCCAATGAGAGAGCAGCTTTCACTTGTGTGTGCGTGTGTGTGTACCTGCTGCAGGCCAGCGGGAGGCTGGGGTTGAAGTTAAAAGCGCTCTTTTTCGGTTTATATGGACCCACGAAATGGAGGGAAAACTAGTGGAGGTTTGACAGGACTCAGGAGCAACCGTGTCTGTTTGACGTTTCATACAGAAAGAAATTAGTTTATTATCAACGTTGAGGAGAAATGGCTAATTCCCTTTAAACCCAGGTGAGCAAACATGTACATGTTCTACCCCATCTTTCTCATTATGTAGTCAATAACAAAAGATATACGACGTGTTTTTGGCTGTGAGACGTAGTTTGGACGAAGTTGTCGGCGATTCTCCCTATAGTAAAGTCATGCAATGTGAAAGTCCCTGTCGCCGATCCATCTTGCAGTGTAAACAAAGCAGCGATGAAACGCTAGCCCAGATAGTCATGCAGAGTGAAAACATATGTGACACGACTACTTTGAAAATCATGCAGTCTGAACTCGGCATAAGTGAATGAAATCATCCAGCTGAGGTTTAAATCTAAAAGTGCAGCATGTTTAAAACTATTGACTCTTTAGCGAAATATTTGACTCTGAGTCGAATAAACGAATCGAGTTGGGTTCGGATCTTTTGTTTGATCGCATCAACGTCGATCACCAAATATGTACTGAACTTGAAGTGAAAATGAGAGACGTGGGTGTGATTGCGTGTACGACAGCGAGAATCAGGGCGATGGGGGGGATTTTAGCGGACGAAAGTAGGAAGATGTCGCAGACGCCGCCTTCTCTATTCTGCCATCCTAGGCCACCGCCTGGGTTGCCTGTATTGACTCGCCGGCCATGGCTGTGGGGAATAAAAGAGGTAAAGTTCATTTTCACAACAATATAATAGAACAGCCAACCTAGTGTTGTGTTTGTTCCCGCCATTTTTCTCTGATGACTGATACAATAACCTACGCTGCAACGCAGGATTCATCGGCCGTTTGCTATTGAAGGAGCAGCAGAGACAATGGGACTCTGTCAGTAACTACAGCTCATATGGACCAGTTTCCTCTTCCTACAGATCATAACACGTAAGTGTCTTTAAAATTGTTGCCTCGTTTTGTGGAGTTTGCAAAATATGTGTTTAATTGTGTGTTATAAGTTGTAATCACATCTAATATAGATCAGTGCTTGTACTGTATCTCTCAGGTTAAATCTGTATGGGGCTGTCATGACTGTGTTTGTCCACCAGATGCCACTGTAGTTCGCCAGCAACTCCCAGCGAACTACAGTGGTTAAGAACTACATTTCCATACATTCTTTCGTGCACACAGCCGGTCTGTCATATACACTGATTTACAACCACAGCTGTCTCCGTTCACCGTTGATTACCTGGACTATATTTTCAACCATTCATCCTCTGTTGGTCGCTGTCGTCTTTATTGGTATGTGTTCCTGATCTTGCTCTGTATCTTGTCATAGTTGTCTAAGTCTAGTTCTAGTTTAGTCTGTTTGAGTTCCTCGTTTGTTTGTTACTTTGTCACTTTCACTGAACAATAATCATTAAAATCTGCACTTGGATTCTACTCCCGTTTTTGTTCTTGATTACAATCCCGTAATGTGACAGGGGCTGTTCACATATCGCGTCCAAAACCATGTTAAAAATGTGAAGCGTGCTTCTTCCTTTACTGATTTAAATGCGTTTCTGAACTGGCGACTCTCTGCTGTTTGCCTTTGCTTTGGCCACTATCAGGTGTTCCTCACACGTGGCGCGGTCAATTTTCAATGGTTCAACTTTTGCTAAAGTGGATTAATACTGAATGTGTGTTGCTATTACTTGGGGTTAAGGTTAAGAGTCGAGCAATGTGCTGGCCTTTAACTGCATTCATTTATTGCATTCCTGCATTGGGCTCTCACATATTTTCTGGCTGCTATTTCATAGCCGTGGTGGGTTTTTCTCTCTCTCGTGCTGAACGCAGTTGACCAATCGCAATACACTGGGTCATCAGACCAATCACTGCAGATTACTTTCGCGCTAAGGAGGTGTTTGGGAACAAATGAATCACTGAATGATTCATATGGGAGTCGCTGGGATTATTACATTTTTAAAAAATGCATGTTAATGCATATTAAGACAATGAAAGTGTTTTTAACGTTGCACGCATATCAGCCTTAAAACCGAAATATGACATTTTTAATGCAAAATAGGGGCTCTATGGGTAGAAAGGATCCCTAAAAAAACTAAGCTTCTATTGGCGATAAAGAAATGACTCAACTGGCCCTAAGTAGGGAGCATCTGGGAGATTTGAGATCCTATTAGTGGAGAAGCTAATGGAGGTGTGCTAATGTGTAAATTTGGGTGTTAAGACAAAGAAGTGTATTTAAACCGTGTGCTAGCCAATACTCATCAGACACTGGAACAACCTGTCTCTGTTGTTACTGATGCTGTAACAATAAACTGCTTTACCTAAAGACTTCGGAGATCTCAGACTTTGTTTTTTTTTAAAGACTTTGGCTTAGAAACCTAAAAATATTTGGCAGACCAGAATCTTTTTTCCACAACATCATCAAATCATTAATAAAACACCCCCCCCTGGTGGGCAAAAAACACTGTCTCCCGCTGATTGTGAAATCACAGTCATTTTTATTTTATTTTTTGCCAAAAAGTCAAATAAGTGTGCAAGAACATACAGCAGTCAGGGTTCAATGCTAAGGATTTTTTCTATTGGCCCCACCAAAAAAAAAAAAGTTAATAGTTAATAATATATTAGTGGTGAGCCGTTATCGGTGTTAACGTGCATCATTTATAAAAAAAAAAAAAAAAAAATATTGCCGTTAATCTATTCTCAAAGTTGGGTTGGGAGCTGGGTCTATACTACGCGAGCTAAGATGACTTTCACCTTGATAATTTAGCGCGGATGTATACATGACCGGTGAGCCGTCTGACAAATTTGTGCCCTTCTGAATCAAATCAGCAGGATGCCTGACTTTAACTGCAGTTCGGCAGTTTCACATTCGCTCATGAACATTTCAGACAAATGTGACAAACTGGGGTATTAGTAGTGGTGGGCACAGCGAGGCTTCGTGAAACACTGAAACATTCGAAGCAAATGTGTCGAAGCTTCGAAACGTTTCGAAACCTCACTCTACAGTGACATCTAGTGGTCATATTTTTATGT